ATGCGTCGGTAAACCCACATTTCGAATGCTTCTAGTTTTCTCGTTAGCGTCTTCGTCAGCGTCCAGGCCTCCACGCCATACAGCAAGATCGAAAAAATGTAGCATTTAACTATACGTAGTTTTAGGGAAAGAGACAAATCCTTGCTTATGAGGAGCTTTTTCATATTGCTAAATGCTGCTCTAGCTCGTTCTAATCTTGCCTTAATTTCTATGGTCTGTTCCCATTTTGCATTTACGTTGGTGCCAAGGTACACATAAGATTGAAATGCTTACAATATCAAGACATGACGGAAGTGGAAAAAGCTTCAAAAGAACGGCTCTATCAAAAGCATTTAAAAAGAAAAGAGCAGGCGCGTCATGCTCGCGATGATGACAAAGAATTAGCTAAAACCACTTTGAAGTTCTTGTCATTTAGCTTTGACCTTGAAGTAGTTTTAAATGGTCAAATGGTCAAATATTTTATTTGCGTAATCTCGCAATTTAATATTTAACAATGTACAATCTGGGAAACTAAGATGGAGTTTGTTATCTTTGGGAAGAATCACAAGGAAAAAGGGGCTCAAATGAGATATCGTCTTGCATTTATAACTATGTTTTATCACATCGAAATATAACAGAACTTAGGATGATGTCTCATGGCGGACAACAAAAAAATGGTTATTTCGCTGGAATGTGCATAAAGTTGCTCTCAATTCACACTAGTTTGATGAAAATTAACCATAAATTTTTTGAATCTGGTCATATCGAAATGGAATGTGACTCAACTCATTCTAAGATTGAACAAAAATCGAAATATGTCCCAGTATACACACCTGAAGGTTGGGCTCAAATAATAAGAGGTGCTCGATTAAAGCCACGGCCGTTTGTGGAAAGAAATCTTAATTTCCAAGATTTCTTCGACTTTAAGAATTTCGCGTCAAACTCCTACAATATTCAAATTTCCTGGCGCAGATTTGTTGTCTGCGCTATTTAAAAACAGAAGACACAATAAAAAATTTTTTACAAAAAAAATTTTGATGAAGAGTTCTCTGAGGTTGATGTTACGAAGAGCCGCGGACGGCCAAAGTTATGGAATAGCAACCTGCTTATAACAGTAAATTGTGCATTTCAGCCGCAAAATATCAAGATTTACAAAAAATGTTTCATGACATTACTATACTAAGGAGTTATCATAACTTTTTTAATTTTATGAAGGTAAATGAAACTGTTAAGAGATAATCTCCCAGAACCTCATTTCAGCGAAGATTCGAAAGAAGATTAGTTTTGTGTTGTTGACAAAATTAAGTTTTAGGAATGTTTTTGCTAATATATTTAGGTGCTTCTTATAATTTGTTTGTGGATCATAACCGCTTAATTTGGCAATAAAATGTAGACTGATGTACTGCTATTTATTTTTTTTTTTTTTTTCATTTCGCCTAAGTGCAAAGCAATAAAAAATATTCAATACCAGTTTAACGTATGTGACTATTTTAACAAAAATATTTCTTTGAAATCAACTTTGATAAAACGCTTTAATAACCTACGGCTAATTTAAGCTTTTTATAAAAAAATAATTAAGACTTTTGAAAACTATGATTTTTTATGACATTGTAAAGCCTTAAAAATCAATTATCTCCTAATAACTATTTTCCACATTCACGGTTTTGGCTGTGTATCGACGAAATTATTTAAGATCAATACAACCCAATTCAATACGTCTCCAATTCATATTCAAAAAATACACGAAAAAGAATATTTTCAGGACTCAAATATACAAATACAACCATCGTTTGTGAGAAAAAACCAGAATTTCAAGAGTTATTCGAGGGGTTTTTACTGGATTTGCCCAACTTTTTTACCTCTCTACATCAGTAGCAACATGTTTTCAAAATTTTATAAAAATAATACGAAACAATGCATTTTCTCTTTATTCAGAAAAGCTAGAAATTTCTTAAATCATGCGAAAAATGCGGTTTTTCCGCAAAAAGTAATTTTGGGGATTTTACTGGATTGTAAAGTCCCGTTTTATGCTATAATTATGTAGAAGGTTAAACAAAGAATAAATAAAGTAAAAACCACCAAATAACCCATGAAAACCTGGTTTTTCGCATAAACGATGGTTATGTTTGCTTCTTTGAGGCCTGAAAATTTTCTTTTTTATATATTGTTTGAATATGAATCGGAATCGCATTGATTCAGATTGTATCTATCTCACAAGATATAATCATCCCAAAAAAAGACCTTAAGAACCTTGAAAAAACATGGTTTTAGGGGGATTTAAAGGTGTTCGGAGCAATTTTTGAATGTGCTAAAGGACTCACTTGCTACAAATTATATATAACCTAGAAAAACATCTTGATTTGATCCATTTTAAAGTCTATAAAATTAGGAAAATCCTTAAAAACTAATAAAAAACAGTTTTTCCGGTTTTTGAAGTTGACTTACCAAAAAATCTGGAAAAACTCAAAAATATATTTTTAAAATATACAAAATAAAAACTAGATTTGCAGTTATATAAAAAAATTACACGTTTTTTTTTTCTAAAACAAAATTCATTTTTAGGTTATGTACACTAAATAGACAAGTTTTTGAAAAGCTTTAACTATATATGTGAAGTTTTTGAAACTCGTAAATCGATTGCAACTCACCGAAAAAAAAAAACAAATAAAAACAAAATATTACGTTTTTGTCGTAAGGGAAGGGGTGGAGGGTTAAATTACGCCGAGTCTAATTTTTTTATAACATAAAACATGAAAAAAAAATGAAAAAAATTATTCAGATTGTATCGATTGCTTAAAAACCCTAATAAAACATAGTTTTTTGGGGGATTTAAAAGTGTTTCGCACAATGTTTGAATGTCCTAAAAGACTCAGTTACTTCAAACTATATATAACCTATAAAAAAAACCTTAATTTGATATATCTAATTTATATCTATAAATTGGGGAAAATCACCAAAAAACCCATAAACAACCAGCTCCTCGGGTTTTTAAAGGTGGTGCACCTCACAGAAAAATCTGAAAAAATTAGAAATATATTTTTTATTAAATAGACAGAATAGAAAAAAATTAGACCTGCAGCAATTAGAAAAAAATTATACGCTTTGTTAAAAAAAAAAATTAGGTTGTGTACACTACATCTGTTGGTCTATAAAAAATATATTGGTTTTGAAGAACTATGCGTGTGAAATTTTAAAATTGATTACAACCCACCGAAAAAAATAAATAAATAAAACGAAAAAATAACGTTTTTGGGGGAAGCGGTGGAGGGAGTGGTTAGCGGTGTAAATTAGCCCTGAGTCTTATTTTTATTCGCATGGTACATAAAAAATGAAAATAATTAAATCTCAGGAAGCCATTTTGCCTATCTTAACGGGGGTACCCATTAGTACCGTGTAGTGCATTCTCATAGACGATAATCATAATTTCATCCGAATGGGACTAGAGTTTTGTTTTGTCCGTGTGTGGAAGTGTAAGTACCCGAGGATTTTGGAAAAATAGAAAAAGAGCAATATCGGTTGGATATTCGATTCCTGTTTTTAGAAGGGAAATTAAAGAGCGCTTGGATACTGTGTAAAAAAATGAGTTATAATAAAACGAAAATTATGACCAACCAACCACAAGAATTAATAATTATAATTGCACAAACAATTATAGAACAAGTAAAAGAATATGTATATTTAGGACAACTAGTTAAATTAAATAAAGAAATCAGACCGGAGAAATAAAGAGAAGGATACGGTTGGCTTGGGTATCCTTCGGAAAATTTTCCTATATACTAAAAAATAGAAAATACCCCCAATATTTAAAAACAAGAGTCTTCAACCAATGTATACTTCTTGTTCTCACCTACGGTTCTCAAACTTGGACGTTTACAAAGGAAAATATGGAAACAATAGCAAAGATCCAAACAGCCATGGAAAGGAAAATGCTGAACATCAGGCTATCAGACAAGAAAAGAAATACTTGTGTCCGCAACAAAACAAAAGTGACCGATGTATCAACGAAGATAGCAAAACTTATGTGGAAGTTCGATGGACATACCATAAGACAGAAAGCCGACAGATGGAATAAGATGGTTATACACTGCAGACCATATAGTTACAAACGAAAAAGAGGAAGGTCACAAATGAGATGGTCAGATGACTTAAAGAAACACGCAGATCCGAAGTGGATACAACTGCCTACAATAGAGAGACGTGGAAAAGGGAAGAGAAGGCCTATGTCCAAAATTGGACATCAAGGGCTGTATAGATAGATAAATAGATTGGATACTGTGAACAGTGACTCTTCTTCGATGACGACCGTCAAAAATTGGTTTAATGATTTTAATGAACGTCGGTTTTTGATGTGTCTTTCCCAGGTATCAGAAAGTTTGCTCACTCTGGAAAATAAACGCAACCCTGAGACCACTTCAAAGCAGTGCTTTACGGCATTTAAACGCAAACTAAACGAGTTCCTGCGGCGTTTCATAACCGTCGATGAAACGTGGATCCAGTGGTATGTCCCAGAGACCAATAAACAATCAAAAGAGTGGACTTTACCCGACGAACGTGCTCCGAAAAAGGGGAAGACTGTCCTATCGTACAAAACAGTGATGTCCACCGTTTTCTGAGATTCACAAGGTGTGATCTACATCGACTATTTAGAGAAGGACAAAACGGTCAACGGGCTCTATTGTGCCAAATTATTGGTAAGATTCGACGTTGAATTGCAGAAATAATGGCCCTATTTGGCAAAGAAAACGTGTTATTTCACCATGACAACACACCGACTCACACCTCCGTAATCACCACGGCTACATTGGTCGTGAGACTCCTTTTTATTTCCAAACTTGAAAAGGTCACTCGCCTATATTGAGAAATAAATCGTCACTTTCAGGCTAAACACTTATTGGACCGCCCTCGTATTTCTGCTTCTAAAATTCCCATAAAAAATTGTAAAATTATTATACTACAAAAAACTATGTATTTTGTTTTTTATAAACAGACACAAGAATCAAAAATCAAATTAAAGCTCTTACTACATATATTCTTGTAACCATTTTTGTTTTTCGTTTGTTGCCTTTAAATATGGTAAACAACCTCCGCTCTCGTGGCCAAAATAACCTGTCATAACATTATCAACACTGGGATACACAATGCTGATACTAGCACTGGAATTCATAGGTTTGGGACTTCCCTTATGGCTGGCTAAACACCTTCAACAAGTTATTATGTACAGGGTGGTTCTTAAGTAATTGTGCAAAAAGAAACTAAACGGCGGATTCTACACTTTAAAATATTACGATTTAAGCCAACTTGCTTTAATAAAATGTTGATATTAAAAAAGATACAGGGTGTTAAAGTGGAAATTTAAAATTTTATTTTTCGCTATAACTTTCATGTTTGTACACATTTATGTATAAAAATTTATAGCTGGTGCTATTGATTATCAGGAATTATAATTTGATGCACACTTTGATATAGCTCATAGAAGGCGCAACATATGCCACATACGTGGCATACATTTGCACTTAACTTTTTTGTTCTTCAAGTTACCGGTATTTTTGATAAAAATTATTAAAGATACATTCGTTTAACAAAAAAAAAAGGTATACTTCTTAATAACTTCAAAACTTAACAGTTTTCGAGATAATCGCATTTTACAAATCAACTGCATAATTCTGATTTAACGCAATTACTCCAGGCAATGAAAGAAAAATAGATAAAAACATCAATACTTCTGAATTTTGTTATAAAATACCTTTAATAAAGTCAATATTTAACGAAATATTAAATAAAATAAATATATTAGCAGGATAATTAATAATAAAATTTATTAAATAACAGAATAATTGGATTTTACATAAAACATTTTACATTTTGTATTAAATTAAAGTCATAATCAAAACATTTTATTTACAAACCAAATTAAGAAATAGTTCAACTAAATAACATTAAAGTTTTTGTCAATGTAAGTGTTCGATATGTCCACCATTTTCTTTAATTCATTTGTCAATACATTCCATAAAATATCGTCTCATATTAAATAGCATCATTGGTTCTAAAGAAACTGCTGCATTATTTGGTATGAGTGTTATCATTAAATAATAAGTAATTTTTTGAAATTTTTATGAATTAAATAATTATATTAATATCTCACTACAAAAATATGACTACCACGAACTATCCAACGTTCAGGAAAGTTGTATTTAAACTCTGTCTCACTCCGCTTTCTCTGTAATGTAATAGTGTACTATCTTGTAGAAACCACATATTTACCCTTAAGTTTGATGACAATTCTTCCAATAAATCAATACATCAAATTATAATTTCTAAACTTTAATAGTACCCAGATGTAAATTTTTATACATAAATGTTGACAAATTTGAAAGTTATAGCGAAAAATAAGATTTTAAATTTCCACTTTAACACCCTGTATCTTTCTTAATATCAACATTTTATTCAAGCAACTTAAATCGTAATATTTTAACATGTAGAATCTACGGTTTCTTTTTGTACAATTACTTAAGGACCACCCTGTATATATAAAAAAAAAGTTTCAATTAGTCACATTGTTTTACCTCAGCAAGGATCCTCTCAACCAATCTGCCGGATTCTTTCCCATTGATCCAATACTTGAAGCTTGCGCTAGTATTCCCCAAGATAACGGTCCTTCACTCTGAGGGGTAGTTTTAGCTGGTAGAACACAATTGCGGGAGAGAAGATCCGCCACAGCATGCAAATGGCTTCCATTCGAACTGGGATAGTACTTTCCTGGGGCCGAATAAATAAAGAATACTCTAAAATAAATTTAAAGTTAGTAACATTTTATAGATATTATAGATATAGCTTATATATATATATATATATATATATATATATATATATATATATATATATATATATATATATATATATATATATATATATTATTGTGATATTTAAAGTCTTGGTGCGCCAAGCAATAATTAGCAAATTAATTTTTTTGATTAATTAAAATTATTTAAATGATATGATTATGACTCTATCACAATTTTTAATTCTTTTATCTCAGGGTTAAATTCGTGCTTCAATATCTATGCTATTACATGTGAAAGGTAAGGTCCAAACAATACCGGAATAATAAAAAACACATATGATCCAACACTATATATTGAAATAAAAATAATGAAATAATTCACACTCAAAATTTTTCAATAAACAAAATCTCATATAATAATTCTCAAAATTTTGTTCTACGTACGTGAACAATCAAAATTAATGGTACAAACAATATTAGTTGAAATCTCAAAATCCAAGTATTACTCTAAATCTCCTAATCAAAATATTTATATCCTTTCTAAATTAAGTGTAAAAAAAATTGTGTTATCAATGAAAGAAAAACTGCAGAAAACAAAACTCTCTCTCTCTGATGATGAGTGGTCCAAATCCTTGTTATTTATAGACTATACTATTTACTCGTGGCCGCTCCCTAAGCAATCAGCAATCTTACAATAAATTATTGCAAGTATCTCGTCCTTAATGATCTCCTTCAAATGCACGAATCGTTCAAATTATGCTAGCTTCTTCTTCTCTTAATAAACTGAATCTCTCGTTGGCCTGAGTGAAAATTGACTCTTGGAATATCTTTTCTTTACGATAAACTGAATCTCTCGTTGGCCTGAACAGTGACTCTTGGAATATAAGTAGAAAAATATGACTTACAATATTTTACTGGATCAGCTTCTGTCAGATACACTAACTACACGAAAACTCACAAACTTTCACTGCTACTGCTTCCTACCTCTGGGAAACTACCCGAGAACAACGGCCGTTCGCCTTGCACCCTTGGAAACCAACTGACTATCTTTTCTCACTCCGAAATCTAGCTAAACTTTCATTCCTACATACCTATCCCACCTTTTTTAATCTCCGCCAATCAAAACTCGTCACAATTCCCCATTTTTTCATTCCGATAACAAACAAATTTTTACCTATAATTATAAAATTTCCTAAAACTTATTTACAAATAATATTTTTCTATAATTCTTAAAAACTAACAAAAACCTCTTTCTCAAATCTCTTCTATTATCTTTAATCACTGCGTTAATGTATTTGGAAAAACCCGGTTCAATTGTTCTTTGGATTTCACTTAAATTATGCGGGTCACTCAAGTATAGTATAACAAAGGAAATAATTTATGCATTGATTAAATTTTGTTTAATACAGGTAATCCAAAAATTAAAAAACTTTTCTTCTTCGAAATGTTTTAATCAAACCAATATTTTTCTCGATTTTACATATCATAACAATATATATATATATATATATATATATATATATATATATATATATATATTGTAATAGTTTTGTTTTTATTATTTTTATGTTTTATTGTTAATAAATATAATTTTAATTGAATTGAAGTGAATTTTAAAAGTATGTAGTTCGTTGTTAATATACTATACCTCGGCTAGCTCAATTATTTGTTCTAAGCAATCTGTCACTGTGTGACGTCAACTCTGTAGTCTCCTGGTAGAGTTCAAAAAGAAATTAAACCAAAATTTACTTTATATTTTTGATAAATTAACCCAAATGAAGCACGTTATTTATTAATATTGAACAAATTTAATATAAACAATAAAATTCGTCTGCAACTTGGGTTGCCTTTAAAAATTTACAAAAATAGGAATCGTGTAAACCTTAATGTGTCGTGAAAATAGAATTTGATTACAAAATGTGGAAACTCTCTACAATTACCTTAAATCTAAATGACTATTGCAACTTTATAAAGTGTTTAAATGAAATATAAAGAAAAGAAAACTGAACACTTTATGCCGCTGACTTATAACTAGCATTAAAATATAATCAAAATTTCAAATGATCCCCAAAATTATTATCCAAACTCACTTTCAAACAGTTCTGATTTTTTTTTTAAAGAAAACTAACTACTCGCAAAATAATCGGTGATACTGGAATATCTATCCTCTCTTCGGAAGTTAAAGGTACGTACTATTATATTTTTATTTTAATGATCATTAATATTTCAATTTTTAAGGCCTATCGCAATTAGTTAATTCATGAATTTTTACTTTTTCAATCTAAATGACATTTCTGCACTCCAATTATAATTTATAAGTCAAAATTTCTCTTACTCTCTGGAACAAATTCTGGATATCTCTATTTGAAAATGTGGAAAAACTAAATTATAATTAAACGATTTTAAAGCACTCCCGGACTATTCCACCTTTTTAGGGCTCTTCCTCCAAAATTTTCGTCGCCTCCAACAACCTATTCTTCCTTGTTCACCGCCATAGCTAGCACCAACCAAAAATTATTCGTTGCTAACAGCAACCCCCTTTCTTTTTTCATTCCGTCTTCTATTTTATTCAACCATAAAACTGTCCTGTTTTGACATATTTGTCAAACCACATTAATTTCTCATAAGCACTTTAATCACATCTAATTTGGGAATTTATAAAAAAAAATTCAGATATAAAACTTAACAATACTAATATAATTTATTCTTTTCATCTCCACATCATTGTAATTTATTTAACAAAACCCCTATTAATTTAGTTCCCACAGACTTTTGACAGTTTATTTTTCTGACGTTTATTTTTGAAATTTCTATGTTTAAATAATTTTTTAAGAATTCTTCTTTTTTATTCCTTTTAAGGTTTAGACGATTCACCTATACACTAGGCAACTATACTATTCAGAAATTATTAACACTATACCAGGTAAGTCAAAATTAATTTATTTAGCAATTTACTAATCTTTTCTCCCTTTTATTTCAGAGTCGACCCCACATTGTGATGGCTTCATGAAATTCATGAACAACAAACTCATATAAAAATCCCTTTAAGTTATATCCTCTTTGACCTATTGAAATCATTTCAACTTCCCCCCAATTTGGATTTTGTTCAGTGCTAACTATCAGCACTTACTAAATCTAAATTCTTACCGATAAACTTAAACATTTTATTAATATTAACATAACAATAAACTGACTTTTATTAATAAGCATATCTCTTGAATATTTTTTTTTTTAATAATTTACTCTATGAAAAATACAGACTTCTCCAAACAAAATCTACAAATCTTTCACTAATTATATCAACTTCAGAATCAAATTTCCAAGTACTTTCCCAATTTCATTACTTCTTTTCCTGTACTATTTATTTCTCGTACTAATTTCGTAGAAATTCTTATAATTGTTCCCCTCTTTATTTTATGTTTTTATTTATTTATTTATTTCCGCATATACTATTTCAGTATCTTTATTCATTGCCGCATTATTATTTATTCTTTTTATATCCCCATATAATATTCATTTCATCATCTCTACATACAACTCTCTATATTTCATATTTCAATATTTCATATAATTCTATTTTTCATCTTATTTTCGCATATACTATTTATCATTATAATATTCCCTATTTCCCAATTTCTACAAAATATCGATTTGTCCATAGTACTTTGCTTATTTATTTATACTTGTAACTCCTATAAATCTACTTGAAAATAAATCAACCTTTTTTGTTTATATAAATTTATCATTATTCTGTACATTTGTTCCTAATAAATTATTTAATTATCAAATTTATCTCAAGATATGCTTATTTATTAATTATCCTTCTATTTACAAAACTTATATCTTATAATACCAAATTCGTGTCATAATATTGCATTATTTAAATTATTTACAATGTTTTTGTTGATTAGAGTTACTTCTGAACCTGTATCTATAATAATAACTTGTATACTGAATCTTGTATGTACCCTTCAATAAACTTTAAAGTATTAGTGTTATTGTTTTTATTTAATTCCCCAGTATCTCTAATAAACTCCCTTGGATGTTCATACTTTGATAAGTAGACAATATTATGCACATAGGAGCGGTCTAAGCAAAATTTCTCCCTTCTGCATCAACACTTGCTTCCCCCCTATTCTCCTCTGTTCTAACTACATTCACCTGTCTTCTCTCCTCATTTTCCCCCCTATTATATCTTGGATTCCCTTCTCTGTAAACTTCCCTATTTCTCGTCTCCTGTGGATAATTTCCCTGGTTCTGTCTCCAATTATTGCCTCTGTCATTCCCTTGTCTCCAGTTATTCTCTCTATCATTGTTTGGATTCCCTTGTCTACGTTCCCAGTTATATCGTCCGATATCTCTCCTGACATTGTTCAAATTCTCTCCCCTATTTGTAAAATCCCTGCTTCTATTTTGTCTCTCAAATTCTCTTTCCCTATAATTATTCCCTCGATTCACATATCCCTGTCTATTTGCTGTGTTATTCCTATATGTCACTTGCTCTTGTCCATTTCGATTCTGCGTCCCTACACTCCTCTCAATCCTCTGAAGATATCCTGTCAAACTTTCCATCGTCTTTATATTGTGGAGAGCTATTGTTTCTGCCATGTTATGGTTATATTGCCTGGCAATGTATAGGACAATCTCCTCTTCTCGCATAGCCGGTTCTAAATATTGTGCTGTCTGGAATAACTGCATTGCGTACAGATTGTAGTTGGTACTTTTTTCATAATTGAATTTCCCAAAATACAACCGCTCCCTGAAACTAGCCTGTTGGTTTTCTCCCCAAAAATAGTTAATAAACTTGGCCTCAAATTCCTGCACATTATTTATGGAATTTTCATTATTGCAAAACCATAATAATGGCATGCCCACTAACATGTTTCGAATATTCAATTTCATTTCTATTGGATCCCTTACATTCTTTACCTTATTTTTGATGATATCTACAAATATTCTAGGATGTAAGTGATTCAGGTTTCCATCAAACTTTATTCCCCCATCATTATAACTCGGCACCACAGTACTCACTACTCTTGTTTGTCCTAGATTTGATTCCAAACGCTGAATCTCCTCACTTGCATTTTTAAATTTCTCTCTCAATTCCTCAACTTGTCCCTGTAATACTCTATCTCCCTTTTCCGCCTGATTTGCATGCATACCCATTTCCAGTTCCAAATTCTGCAATCCCTTCTTTATATTATTTTTTATAATGGTAATTTTTTTCCTCATAATCCTGAGTTTGCCTTTTAACACTTTCTACCTCCCTAACAATCTCTTTATTCTGCTTATTAACTTCTTTGTTTATTTCCATTGGTAAATTCTCTTTAATGGCTGTTCCCAACTCTACAAATCTGCTCCCAATTTCCTGTCCTATTTCCGCTCTAATTATGGCCTTTTCTCTGGATATCTCCTCCTGTACATTCCTCTTAAAATTCTCACTTTCTCCTCTGACCTGTTCTACTTTCTCTTCTAAACCTTGGGTAATTTGTAGCATCTCTTCCCTGACTATCTTCACTTCTTCTTTGATTTCTTCCCTCATTTTAATTAACTCTTCCCTAAGTTCTCCTTTAATATTATTTTCCATTTTGTTCATATCCCCCCTAATATTGTTAATATTACTATCCATTTTGTGCATATCTCCCCTAATATTATGATCCATCTGTTGTAACATCCGCATTATTTGCCTCATATCCATCTGTGTCATCCCTGACTCTCCAACATCTCCTTCCCTACGTCTCTCCTCCTGCACTCTACATTCATCCACACTTTCATCACGTCTATCTCTCACTGTCTCATCCAACTCCTCTCTCAAACTATCTGTTAGACTTCCCTCTCTATCACCTTGTCCTGCTTCTTGTCTGCCTTGCTCTAAATATTGTACTACAAATTCTCCTGATCCTCCTCTGCTTTCTTCATCTACCTGTATACCCTGTTCCTGTTCTAACACCTGTTCTCCTTCACTCTCTTTCGGTACGATTTCTTTTCCATTTCTTAAAGTCATTCGGTCTGCCATTTTATCCTAATCTCTATTTATTCTCAAATTTAACTTTAACTACCCCAGAATCTCTACAACTCTAATCACACCAATTTGTTTTTATTTTAATCTGTGTATTATTAATAAATCTGCTTAAAAAAAACACCCTTATTTCTGTTTTCCCAGAGGCTCCACGTTGTTAGCGCCAATTGTAATAGTTTTGTTTTTATTATTTTTATGTTTTATTGTTAATAAATATAATTTTAATTGAATTGAAGTGAATTTTAAAAGTATGTAGTTCGTTGTTAATATACTATACCTCGGCTAGCTCAATTATTTGTTCTAAGCAATCTGTCACTGTGTGACGTCAACTCTGTAGTCTCCTGGTAGAGTTCAAAAAGAAATTAAACCAAAATTTACTTTATATTTTTGATAAATTAACCCAAATGAAGCACGTTATTTATTAATATTGAACAAATTTAATATAAACAATAAAATTCGTCTGCAACTTGGGTTGCCTTTAAAAATTTACAAAAATAGGAATCGTGTAAACCTTAATGTGTCGTGAAAATAGAATTTGATTACAAAATGTGGAAACTCTCTACAATTACCTTAAATCTAAATGACTATTGCAACTTTATAAAGTGTTTAAATGAAATATAAAGAAAAGAAAACTGAACACTTTATGCCGCTGACTTATAACTAGCATTAAAATATAATCAAAATTTCAAATGATCCCCAAAATTATTATCCAAACTCACTTTCAAACAGTTCTGATTTTTTTTTTAAAGAAAACTAACTACTCGCAAAATAATCGGTGATACTGGAATATCTATCCTCTCTTCGGAAGTTAAAGGTACGTACTATTATATTTTTATTTTAATGATCATTAATATTTCAATTTTTAAGGCCTATCGCAATTAGTTAATTCATGAATTTTTACTTTTTCAATCTAAATGACATTTCTGCACTCCAATTATAATTTATAAGTCAAAATTTCTCTTACTCTCTGGAACAAATTCTGGATATCTCTATTTGAAAATGTGGAAAAACTAAATTATAATTAAACGATTTTAAAGCACTCCCGGACTATTCCACCTTTTTAGGGCTCTTCCTCCAAAATTTTCGTCGCCTCCAACAACCTATTCTTCCTTGTTCACCGCCATAGCTAGCACCAACCAAAAATTATTCGTTGCTAACAGCAACCCCTTTCTTTTTTCATTCCGTCTTCTATTTTATTCAACCATAAAACTGTCCTGTTTTGACATATTTGTCAAACCACATTAATTTCTCATAAGCACTTTAATCACATCTAATTTGGGAATTTAAAAAAAAAATTCAGATATAAAACTTAACAATACTAATATAATTTATTCTTTTCATCTCCACATCATTGTAATTTATTTAACAAAACCCCTATTAATTTAGTTCCCACAGACTTTTGACAGTTTATTTTTCTGACGTTTATTTTTGAAATTTCTATGTTTAAATAATTTTTTAAGAATTCTTCTTTTTTATTCCTTTTAAGGTTTAGACGATTCACCTATACACTAGGCAACTATACTATTCAGAAATTATTAACACTATACCAGGTAAGTCAAAATTAATTTATTTAGCAATTTACTAATCTTTTCTCCCTTTTATTTCAGAGTCGACCCCACATTGTGATGGCTTCATGAAATTCATGAACAACAAACTCATATAAAAATCCCTTTAAGTTATATCCTCTTTGACCTATTGAAATCATTTCAATATATATATATATATATATATATATATATATATATATATATATAATATATATATATATATATATATATATATATATATATATATATATATATATATATATATATTATATATATTATATATATATAGTTTTTTTACGTTAAGAATGAAAATGTGACAGTCTAGTAACTTTTGAATGTCCAACCATACAGCAAACTCCCTATGCCCCTCTCCCTATAGATTCTAATAAATCTAGTGACTTTTAGTGAAATATCGGTTGGCAAAATATTGCAATATTGCCAGTTCATTTCTCACGGCTTTTTGTTATTGTATTTGTGAACAGGAGGCACAGAACATAAGTGTAGTGGAGGTTAGGTCCCGTCCCACCCAAAATAGAAAACAATATTCTGTGGTTAGGTGGTGTTGGTTATTTATTTTTTTCGTTTCAATTTTTGCTATAAATTAAACTAAAAAAGTTCTTTTCAGAACTAATATTTATAAATTTGAAAATTTTATAAATTTTCAAATATGCCTAAAGCTTTAGGAAGTGGTGCCCAGAAAATGGTCATTTCTTTAATTTCATACTTTGAGGCAGAACGTGATCATCAATCTATATTACTTCCGTTTGAAGCAGTTAGGGATGTAAGTAATTATTTGTTCTATTTCTTTTTACATAGTGATATAAAATGTGAGCAATATTTAATTTTACATTTTTAAACAATCCTATTTCATTTTGATTAAAAAGTGAGGTTATATGAAAGTTTTTATTTTTAGAGGGTAGCAGCGGCGTTAAATATTAGCCTGTCCCTTGTAAATAAAATTGCAGTAAAAGCCAATAGGGGTGAACCATTAAGAAGCCCAAAGCAAAAAAGACGACGTACAAAACCAGTTGTTGATATAGATGAATTCAATCAAATGACTATTCGAAATATTATTTATGACATGTACAAAAAAAGTAAGTTTTTGACCAAATATAATGTCAATAATCTTTAAAACAAATAATCATTTTAGAGGAACAAGTTAAATTACAAACACTACAAGCGAAATTAGTAGAAAGGAATATTTTTACTGGTAGTCTTACTTCTTTATGGAAAATTGTACGCAATATTGGTTTTCGTTATAAAAAAGATGATCCAAGACGTGGTTTAATGGAGTTACCCAATATTGTTTTTAAAAGACATATGTTTCTGCAGCAGTATGTAAAACTAAAAAATGAAGGTCTATACACATTTGTTTTCTTGGACGAGACATGGATTTTTCAAGATGGTACTATTAGTCGTTCTTGGCAAGATTCAAGTGACAAAAGTGTTAAGAAAACTAAAGTCGGTGGTGCAAGGTAAATATATATATTTTTGTTTAACATCCATTTTATTGTGATCTGTTTTACACAAAACAACAAACAATAACATGTGAGTGTTAAGAAAGTGACACAGTCAGTATTCCCCCCACGGTTAATAGCTAAAAAAAGTACAATAATAATTGAGTTAATGTAGTTATTAAATAATTGACCATGTACAAATTTAAATATATGTTTAAAAATGCATTTAAACTCAACTATCTTTTGTTGCAATGTTCAAATTTAAAAGAAATAAAAACATTTAACAATGTGCTTTAAAATAAAAATGAAATGGTTATGGGAAGTTATTTTTTGTTTTATCATTTTTTTTTAAATTATTAAAATTATAATGAATATACAAAAAATCAAACTCATCAATATTATACTGCTGCACTACACAAGAACATTGTTTGTAGCTTTTACCATTACCTTTAATAATAGCCTAGACAACTAATTGCATAATATTTATATTATATTTGGTAATTTAAATTATTTTTTAGATATATATTTTATTTAGTAATTTAAACTATTTTTTAGATACATTGTTCTCCATGCAGGAAATTGTAATGGATTTATTCAGGGAGCTGAATTGGTTTTTTCATCCAAAACAAAGGACTGTGACTACCATGGAGAAATGAATCGTCATAACTTTTTGCAATGGTTTGAACATCAGCTGTTGAATAATTTAGAGGAACCATCAATTATTATAATGGATAATGCTCCATACCATAGCACAATAATTAATAAAGCTCCGACATGTGTTTCAAAAAAAGCTGAAATAAAAGAGTGGTTGGAAAATAACAATATTGCACATGAACAAACAATGTTAAAACCTCAATTGCTTCAACTGGTCCAGAGGTATGTTTTTAATTAAATTTGTACAATTTGATATGCTTTTAATATTTCATTGCTTATAGGAATAAACCAGAACCAATATATGAAGTAGATAGAATGGCTGAACAATATGGACACAGAGTTCTTCGACTTCCTCCATACCATTGTAATTTTAATGCAATTGAGCATATATGGGGAATAAGTAAACGGTATTACTCTGATCATGTAGGCACAAATGGCAGTTCTACTGCAAAGTCTTTAGCAGTGTGGAAGGAGTCCCTGGCCCAAATAACACCAGAAGTATGGTCAAAAACAATAAAGAGTACAGAATCTGAGATACAGCGCTGGTGGGATAGAGAAATTGTTTTTGATCGTGAAGACATTAGCCCTGTAGTTATTGATTTAGCAGAAGATGATGATAATGATGATGACAACGATTTTTGTATTGATAGTGGTGATGAAGTCTTTTAATTTTATTAAAAAAAGAATTATATATGCATTGCAATTGTGTTCTAATAAAAGTACATTTCTGTAATATATATTTATTTAAAAGTTATTTTTGTATTTGATCCAGATAATCAGGTGAGTTAGAAAATATAATTAATTTTCTATACTGGTATAGAACAGCTATAACTAACAAAATTCTTATATTGTTAAGGATTTTTGAATAATGAAACTTCTATATTAATTTTTTTTATTTTTATACGTTTAATACACGGGATAACCCCATTAACAGTTTAAATTACAATATACAATATCACAATTAGTGACAACCTATCTTGACTCTCTGATTTCTCCCAGATGTAGAGTTTTTAATCCATTTCACAAACATGCCATGAAAGTAAATTAATATGAATAGCTTCCAATGATATTCAAATATCCAAACATAATATGTTTTTTCATCTACAAATAATTTCCAATTAATTATTGTATGCTGCAGTAGTACTAGTCATGTGTAACACTGTGTGGTATGACACTTTTGTGCTGATACTTTGCAGTGCTTCATGTGTATTAACACTGTGACAATAAAGTATCAAAGTGTCCTTACACCCAGAGTGTTCCCAAGCAATGCAATTCACTGCAATAGTGCGATTTGATACAAGATACAACAAAAAGAGACAGAACACAAATAAAGTCAATTAAAGTTTTCTAATCATACCAAAACATTTCAACCTGTCTGATCTATTATCGCTTTGTGTCCTATATTCTCAAAAAGGTTTTATTTTTGAAAAGATCAACTCTCAATCAAAGTCTAGCACAGCTATTAAGTAAATGGAAAACAGATGGTTGCTTCTTTATCTGTTTTTACAATATCTGTCCTTATTTCCATGGTTTAGCAAACTATTGTTGTTTTGTAAGGATAGAACCAGTCTCTATTTAGATTATTTTTTATGGGCCACTCACTTGAATTGATCAAAAAAAAAGTTTATACTCAGATATAGATTATTAATGTTTTGACCCAAACCAATTTTAAAAAGAACACTTTTATTGAAGCTTGAGTAATTACAAAAGTTAAAAATAAATTTAAATATAAGTAATTTCTAAATATTTTAAAGTGTTTAATAATCACAGATCAGACATAGAATATCTTTGTAACTCATTTATTAAATTTAATATATTTGAAATTTTCATTACAGATGTATAAGGTGTATCTAATTTCAATAAATTTTTATGCACAGATATGCTTAAGATATTGTGGAATAGAGTACTTAGTTATTCCATTTAACATATATCCAACATAAAGGATTAACAATATAAACAGGTTAACACAATAAAACAAAGGTTTAATTTTTAAAATTCTAATGGCATATAGATTTGAATTTATAAATGAAAAGTTTTTAATCAAACATACTACACTAAAATATCAACAGCACCCTCATTTGCTAGTATTTCCATGTTCTTTCTATTAACTACAATGTTATGTAAAACTGAACAACCTGTTAGGTAGCTGTGTCATTCACAATTCTTGACACAATTGATTTAAAACTTCTGCTTGTTACACATTGTTTGCTCAATGAACTAAGTTCTTTTTCTAGGTTTAAATTCTTGACATTTAAGGTGCTGTAAATCACTTTCTACTTTATAAATAGAATTTGTTTAAAGAGATCACAATCACTGCAGAAAAATATAACTGATCATTGTTTTAATAATCTTAATGGTTAGTTTGTTGTAATTTGAAATGGTAACAAAAGTTACAAAGAATAATCAGTTTCTATGCTTGAATGTTCTTGCAAGTTCCACGATTTGTATCCATACTTTTATTGATGGCCTATTTATCAATTCCAAAAAAACTTTGTTTTCTTATGATAATTACCTAATCATGTTTGTTTTAAAAATAATTGGAACCATAAATTTGTACCCGATAAAACTTCATTTTTAGGAAGATATAAAACATTAGTTATAAAAGATGGGTATAAATTATTTATAGTTAAAAATTTACAATTTAACACAAAAGTGTTAAAAGAAAACAACGAAAAGTTAGGTTATGTGTAAACTTGTAAACATTAAAAGTGATCAACTTGTTTTGAAAAGAAGAAAATGAAAAGTTAGGTTAGATGTGTTTAAGAAGAATATAAGAAATGGAAAAATAGTTTGGCAACGATGCACCTGATCGTTGTGTGACGTCATCACATTCTTATCGTAAAAAAAGTATATATATATATATATATATTATATATATATATATATATATATATATATATATATATATATAAGGATCACTCTGACGAGTGGTGGGTTCTTATATCGGTCTCTAGGTGGAGAAATAAAAGACAAAGTTGATAGGCTACTTTATCTATTTTGAAGACGTTTCGCTTTCGAGTTTTGAAAGCATCATCAGTTCATCTAAAAAATTACAATATGAGAACCACACAATCATGGAAACGATGTTAATTGTTACCTTAAAAAGACATGTAGCAGTCAATGTTATTAACAATAATGTGAATGAAACTAAGTAAATGGACATAATACGCTGATTTTGTATAAACAATTAAGTAACTAACAACATATATGAACTTATAAAATTAGCACAGCAAATGACCATGTGGTCTAAAGTAAATTAAATGTTATTTAATGTTAATTAGTGAGAAAGAACCAAGAAAATCATAGATAACTTCCAACTATTTATATGAATATTAAGCTTTGATTTTAACTTTAGGTAGCATTATAAGTGATATTAATAAAATTTTAAAAATAGTATAAATGAAGTTACCGATCAAAGCCCTACCAATGTCGCCGGGAAAATGGCGTTAGATGAACAGGAACGAACTAAACCGCGAAAAGACAGCCAACCTTGAGGTCAAAAATACTTTCGACAGATCAACAAGGTGTAGGTACCAACCGAAATTTTGGGCGGTCAATTTAAGTTTAAATGAGTTTGGATGACTACCCGGTTGCAAAAGACAAAACAGTGAAAGAAGTTGGTAGTGTAATAGCAACTCCCCTCACTAATCAGCCCAGATTTATAAACAGGAGATTTTCATTCAACCTCATAAGTATGTAATAACGTTAATCATTATGGCTAGTTAAACAGCTACAGGTGGTTAACGACCCATTAATTTCCAAACAGATCAAGGTTCAATATACTTGGAACTGTGATTTGCAAAGGATTCTATGAATCAATTACAATATTTGTATTATTTAAGTATAAAATTGTTCACACTAATCAAAGTAATCAGTGTATGGAAATGCAATGTAAGTTGCATTATGTAATACTAAATTAAGTAAAGAATATTAAATTATTTTATTAAGATATTTTATGTATTTTATTTCTATTTTATGTATATAAATTATTTTATGAAATATGGAAAAAAGGTTCAAACAGTACACCTAATATGACATTAATATAGTGAAAAGATCAAGAAGCCTAATTCTGCAAAATTAAAGCATGATATATTTGGCTCAAGTTACTTATGTCAGTTCTCTTATTCAAAGCGACTCTTATTCAAAGTTCTCTTATTCCCGGCGACATTGGTAGGGCTTTGATCGGTAACTTCATTTATACTATTTTTAAAATTTTATTAATATCACTTATAATGCTACCTACTTTTTGCTACATGTCTTTTTAAGGTAACAATTAACATCGTTTCCATGATTGCGTGGTTCTCATATTGTAATTTTTTAGATGAACTGATGATGCTTTCAAAACTCGAAAGCGAAACGTCTTCAAAATAGATAAAGTAGCCTATCAACTTTGTCTTTTATTTCTCCACCTAGAGACCGATATAAGAACCCACCACTCGTCAGAGTGATCCTTATATATATTGGATTGGACGGTCGTACTCCTTTTTCCGATATATATATATATATATATATAATATATATATATATATATATTTATATATATAAATTATTATATATATATATATATATATATATATATTTATATATATAAATATATATATATATATATATAAATATATATAAATATATATTATATATATATATTTTATATATATATATATATATATTATATATATATATACCAGGCTCAAACTAGAATACAAGAACATAAAAAAGGTTATAGAAATGAAACAGTTATTTCTAACTTAGGACTTAACTCAGATAAATTAATAAATGATAGAAAATCCTAAAATTAAAATAAGATAAAAATATCATTTTTAAAGCAAATTTTCAATTCATAAGTTTGCAATTGTGAATTAAACAAGCATTTATGATAACACTTCCGAGATTCAAAATTTTTCATATATTTAGGAAAAAATATTCAAGGTTTCATTGCAAATATTTTCCACTTTCACATTTTTATATATATTTTTTCCTAATGTGGCAAAACTGTATATTCAAAAATTTTCAAAAAAATCATTTCAAGTATTTCTTAGGATTACATCTTTGTGCTGTAAGATAATTAACAAAATGTATGTTGAATTTTTCCGCTTTATACTTGGGAAAAAAGTAGTTTTTTTGAGTTTTTTCGAAAACGAAAATATGAAGTTTGCACAAAATTTCTCAAAATGTTTCTAGTGATCACATCAATATTTCTAGCTTTTATCTACAACGTTATTACGTATAAAACTATTAGGTCTACATGGATTCTGAAAACAACAAATAGAAGATAAAGTCTTATTTTATCACATTAAATCATTTAAACGATTAAAAAATTTATGTTAAATATGCAGTATAGGTTTACAAAAGTAGTGTGACTAAGCTTATAAATATTTAAAATAACTCAGACGCATCAACATATAGAAAATTATTTTTTTAATAACGAGCGCAGTAAATAATATAGAAAGTTTTATTTTTGAAGTATTAAATATTTAATATTTACTTACCTAATAGCACTAAAATCAGCTTTCTGTACATATTCTATAAAAGGCTTTTAAAATGGGCTCATTGTAACTTCTTAAGTAACTTAAAAGATGTGTTTTTAAATTTCGTAGGCGAGTCTCCATCTTTTTCTGAACATGAATCTGGAAGTCTTTTGCAAGCTGGACTAACCCATAACCTACAAAAACTCGTCATGATGATTATATGTAAACGTAACGTCACGCAAATGTTTTTGTGAGCTTATGCTAATTATAAATGAACAATTTAGGTTTCAATAAACGAATTATATACGCTTGTTCAATTAAAACTCGTCTTGGGTCAGGTTAGCCTTGGAAACAATAAAAAATTACTCAACTGACATTCTGCAATGTTAGTTATGTTTGTAAATGTCACACTGGGTATCATTTGTATTTGACTGTGATTTTAAGTACATATTGTGACTTAAAAATGGCGTTTGTTGTTAACAATCCGTGCAAATGTAATTAGCGTGTGGTAAAAAAATATTTTTTTAATCATGAAGGACCCTTGCTCATAGAGTTTACATCACCTTAAGTTCATATAAAGAGGAGAGGAGACCTCCTAGAAAAATTAGCAGAAGACTCAGAACTAGTTGTCACCAACACATTCTTCCAATTACCACCTCGCAAGCTGTACACGTGGAAATCCTCTCAAGACATACCCGGAAGAATTATTGGGAATCAAATAGACTACATTTTAGTAAATAAAAGATTCCAACACAGCTTTACATCTGTCAAGACTTATCCTGCAGCAAACTTGGAGACAGACCACGTTCCACTGAAGGAAGTATTTCGAGTTAAACTCAAAACAGTGCAGAAAAGGAAAGCACAATCATACGACCTACATATGCTTAAAAACCTCGATACGAGAATAAAACTCCAAGCCACGTTAAGCGAGTAAGTGACTGTTAGAGACGAATCGTACGAAGAACAAACGATCAAACATATTACTGAAATAGTGCAAAATGTAAAGGATAAACAGTTAGACAGATAGATTAATAAAGAAAAAATCATAAATGACAGATGGGATTCTGAATCTAGAGGACGAGAGAAGATAAGCCAAAAATGACCCAGACAAATATAAAAGATTAATATATTAATAAGAAAGAAAATCAGAGAAGCGAAAGAAAAAAAAGCAAGGGAAAGATGCGAAGAAATTGAGACTCTGCAGTCAAAGTACGATAGTCACACTGTACATAGGAAAGTTAAAGAACTCACAGGGGGACTAAAACGAAGGCAGAAAGGAAATATAACTGATTCTGACGGAAACGTCATATTAGACAAACATAGTTAGATAAGAACGTGGAAAGAATATCTAGAAAAAACTATTTGAAAACCAAAGAGATAACACTTTCGACCTAGAAGAAGAGGTAAATGATGGACCAAGAATATTATAGCAGTAAGTTTATTCCGCAAAAACACAGTTAAAGGATGGCAAAGCCGAAGGCCTTGATAATATACAAGCAGAACTACTCAAACTAATATACAACGAATCAATAGCAATAATCGCAAATATATTCAACGACATATACAACTCTAGAGAAATACCAACAAAATGGCTGAAATTGAGTTTATTGCAGTTCCAAAAAAACCAGGGGCCAAAAAATGCGAAGATTGCCGTTCCTGTTCACAAATGCTGTTGATACTAGAGAGGCTTTGTTCTCAGTACAAGTTTTATTCCAGAGATGCAGAGACGTCAACTGCGACGTATACGCAGGTTTGGTTGATTACGAGAAAGCGTTTGATCGAGTACAGCACGCCAAGATGATGCAAATACTAAAAGAAGCAGTAATTAATAACCAAGATCTGAAAATAGTTAGAAATCTTTATTGGAATCAGACAGCAAATCTCCGAGTTGAAGGTGAACACACTGACTATGTGAAAATCATGCGTGGAGTGAGGCAAGGCTGTATTTTGTCTGCTCTAATTTTCAATCTGTACTTTGAAAGAATATTTATCGAAGCCTTGCACGACACTGAAAAAGGTATTCTACTAAATAGTTACCGGTTAAACAACATTAGATATGCAGATGAAACCATAGTACTTGCGGACAAGTTAGAAGACCTACAAGTGCTTATGAACAAAATCACGTATTACAGTCAACAATATGGACTCAATATAAAAGTTAAGAAGACAAAGCTTATGATAATTAGCCAGAAAAGGATAAAAAAAGGTCAACTCTACGTCAACAAAACCACTGTAGAAAGAGTGACGCACTACAACTAGCTCGGTACCATAATAAATATAGAATGGACCAACAACCAATAGATTAGAGCCCGCATCGGAAAAGCTAGATCCACATTCGATCCGATGGGGGCCTTCTTCAAGAGGCACAACCTCTTTCTTGATACAAAAGTAAGAATGCTACGATGCTACGTCTTCACTGTCATTTTTTATGGTGTTGAATCGTGGACCTTGAACGAAGATATGTGCACAAAACTGGAAGCATTTGAGATGTGGCTATATAGGAGAATACTTAGGATCCTGTGGACTGACTGAGTCACAAATGAGAAGGTCCTCAGAAGAATGAATAAGAACCGAGAGGTACTGACCATCCATCAAATCTCTAAAGTTACAATTCTTCGGACATATTATGCGAAATGAATCCAGATATGCTCTCCTTCAAGCCATTCTGCAAGGAAAAATATTTGGAAAACGAGGTCCAGGAAGAAGAAGAACATCTTGGTTCAAGAACCTTAACATCTTCTTGATGTGTAGGCACATCAAGAAGAAGAAAGTTCAGATCAACGCCAACTAAGGTTCAAAGGAATCCACCGACAAAAACCAAAAACGAATGTACTTAACTTTAACGATATAAGCATAAAAGATAACATAGAATAAAAACGGTACTGTCAGATTGTCAGAACACTCAAAAAGACAGAGGCCGCTGACGGCCATCGTCATGGAAGCAGTATCGTAGACGCGGTAAAGGTCTCAGGTGATATAGATCAGGTGATGATAATGATGATGATGATGATAGATCAGGTGATGTCTCAGGTGACGTAGATCAAGAGTAGTATTCACGGAGCTGTAGCTGGTAGCATAAAGGACCTGGAAAGTAAAGCTTCAACACGTCAAGGCTACATCGGCTGTGATATGCAAACGGTTTGACAAAGAAGGATTACATTAAGCACTACATCAGTAACTTTGTCTTTACAAAGACGAGGTTGCTGGTCTGAGGCCAAAACAAGATAAAGTACTATATAATTCTTTTGGATACAACCCCGAACTTGCATAGTATATAACAACGGGTTAAACTGTAAACTAATTCCGGCAGTTTAGATTAAATATTGTATTACAGGTATCCTAAACGTATCCACGGAGCAAGGCAGTTCAAGATGGTTGGTCTGCTCTTACTACCGCAGGAGATAAGAAGATCTATCTGCAAGGCATACTAGAGAATATTACAGCTAGAAGAAGAATATTCAACTAATACCGGGGTGTGGTGCTATGAAACTAATATATCAGCAAGTGGAGAATAGCAACTTTAAAAGCCCTCAGGTCTATGCGGGATGATTCAAAACTTGTGTGGAATTGTTTGGATATCCTCTCTCAGGTTGGAGGTCGGAATAGTCTGACACTAGCCTTGATTCCACGGCACAAAGGCTACGTAGGCAATGAGAAGGCCTTGCTTTGAGAATACTTCTCGGTTCTGTCTACAAGAAGAGAAATGTAAGGCCTCACTGTCTGAGTAAACTTTGAACTGTCAATGTAAAGGCTTCACAAGTATATAGTATCTAGAACTAGGAGAGGAAAATCCGAAAGCATCAGTCTACATAAAAAGACCGCTCCCAAGGTTGCACAATCTCATTAAGAGAATTGACAAGTGACGAAGGAAAGTACAACAGGCCTGTAAAGCCTAATCGCAAACTGTAATCTGTAGTTATTAAACTAAATTAAAAATTCGTACTTTTGATATGCGACCCATTTCGATATAATTAACGAAAATTGTTTCTTTTGGTAAAATGACTTTTGGGAAGCCCTAGTACCTCATATCTGAAATAAAGTTACAGTTAAGATTACCTGATCAAAACTTCAATAAAAAAGGCAAAAAGATGTAGTCATATGGTGGAGTATTAAATATTGTAAACATTAGAATAAAAAAATTGTATGTGATAACTAGACCGCGGATTTTATGTAAGTTATATATTTTTACATATATTAGGTTATTTAAGTGGTAAATACATATATTTACATATTTTTGTCACTGTAATCTGCAATGGAAAACCCGAACAACCATTTAGATGTAATTTGTAGGGCTTGTCCGTTTATTTCTAGGTACTATTTACCTGAGCTCTTAACAATTCTTAATCTCCGCAAATTAAGTTGACCGGCTTGGATGTGGGGCCTGGCATTAACCAGAAATAATCCTAAAATGAACTATTATGTATTTTTCATTTATAATTTGAATAGACTTACAGCTTTCGGATCGAATCGTGGCCGATGGCAAACGCTGTCATCGATCGTACACCCACCCACCTAAATCTTAAGACAGTATTGCTTTTCTGAAATTCAGTTCAGCGCTACTTTTAGTTGAGTGTAAACATGTTTACTAAATTGTTAAGTAAATGCCAAACGATTTTCAAAATTCTCGATAGGGGACTTGAATAAGTGCAGCTATTTTTTAAGTTGAAAATTATGATAGAATAAAGGACGTAATAAACGACACATCAGACACTTCACAGGCTGTCATATCATCAAAAGCAGTTTTCGATAATAAGGAGGTGCATACAAGTCTGATATTTATTAAAACGAATTATAGTTTTATACCGGCAACAATTAAGTTACTAGAAAAGAAGTCGCAACTTCTAGTTGATTCTATGGAACTAATTGAAAATTTTCAAAAGATATGCCAAAAAATATCTGGCAAGATCACAGCAGAACAACCCTCCTAGAAGAATCCTTATGTCACAACCTGTGGGAAGTAGAAGTAGGGGTAGGCCAAAACTCAGATGGAGGGATGGTGTAGATGAGGATGGTAGAAAAATAGGCGCAGTAAACTGGCAACAGTTGGTAATGGATAGAACTGACTGGCGTAATAGACTTGGGGAGGTCGAGGCTCTTTTATAGGGCTGTAGCACCAATGATGATGATGCCAAAAAATAAAAAAAGCGACATTGGTAAATTTTTACAAAAATTTAGGGGAAGCTTAAGCAAGTTTTAGAAAATAATAAAGGCTTCAAAATTATTCCGAATGTGTTCATTTTTAAAGGCCATTTTGACATAGAAACGTGTATTGATGGAAACATGTTGCCAAAATTAAAATATGTCCCTATTACCTCAGTAGATGTGGAGCGAAGCTTCTCTTTATATAAACACATGTTTTTTGATAAAAGATAAACCTTTAACCTAGAAAATTTAATTATCTGATTTCCTTTAATATAAAATATCAGTTACATATTTTTTTTTCTTTATTTTGATTGATAAGAACTTACTTGAAATATGAAATAACAGTACATTACCTTGATTATAGTGATTCCAGTCTTCATAATATAGATTTGCTGTTGATACCACTATCCTGATTGAATTATCTTCATATACATAAATACCAATCTTCCTAAAATAATAAAAAAAAAGTTATTGACATATTGATTTCAGATGTCACCTTATTTAGGCGACAAAAGATTTTGACTATTCTCCAGACTTCAGTTAATGAAACAAATGTTTTGTGATAATTGTGAATTTTCCAAGTAAGGCAGGGGAACTATAGCAAGATAATATTATTATTATCTGAATGTATAACCAATAAAACCACGGGCATGGAATTTTAAATATCCGTGTGCAACTTCATCTTTGTTTTTCTTAAATGTGAAAATATCTAATCGGTGGTCCGGTATTGTTTGTCTATTAAAAGTGTTCCAATGAGCACCTAGATGAGAAGCGAGTGACCTTGTATATTTCTTTGAGTATTTTTGTCTAGTAATTACACGGAGATGCAAAATTTTGATGTCTATGAACAAGTAGAGTACAAGTAGTCTTTTTCTAGAGTATTTTTTTGAGCTGAATCCAAATTCGTTGAGATTTTCTTCATATAACGTACAGTCTTTTTACTACACAGATTGCATAAATAGACATTTAGAAATGTAACTGAAGGTTTTATCATCTGGTGATGAAATTGTTGCGACTTGTTCAAAAATGTAAACGTAAATGAGTGTAAAAATAATTATTTCGAAGTATTGACAAGGTACCTACTCGACGGCAGCTTATCTGTATAAATGTGGAAACCTTCCTAATTATGGCGGAACTAATATGGGAAGAAATGAAGAGGTGGAGAGGCGTCGTTCGAGGTGTCGGGTTTGTAGAAATGAACGCAGGGAGCTTCGGCGTTACGGTCACCGGTCTACACTCCTGGTATCCGAGACGAGCCTCTAGTGGGACCAATCTACTCTTATTCCACAGAAACAAGGTGCGGTTGAACGTGCAGTGTACCACATACACCATTTCGCCATTAAGGGCGTAGGGTTACGGCACGTACCCACCATGGGAGACTTAAGAGTGGGAGAGGAGAGCCCCTCGGCGGCTACCTGTCCACGTGCGAGGTCGAGTCTCGACCTGCATTCACCTTTCCGCCCCGGGGATAACTGACGGGTGTTCGTACCGCAACACAGGTACTACGAGGGGGGTGTAGCCCCGCGATGCTCCTTGCAACGCGCCAACCTCAAATGGTGTCGGACATTTGAGTCCCGCCGGCATTTATTGTCGGGGATACACGAATTTCTTCATATATGAACAGATGAATATTTTTTTATTATTTGTTCTAAAATTAATCAATCTCGGAAATCGTGTGTGGTGTGATCGTTGTGGTTGTAAAACATAAACGACGTATTACCAAATTTGTAGAAAATGTGTACTTATCATATTTTGGTGTAAAACTAGGTTGCGCCTAGGCATTGCGACTACGGTAAACAGATAAAAAAGCTATGTCCTTTGGAATACCAATGGTCTGGAGAGAACCATCAAATCATGTGGATGAGTTTTACTTTTGTTTGACTAATAGATGTGGCTACTCAGTTAAGAACAAGAAATCTATTGTTTATCCTAACTACCTACTGCTCTTAGACCAGTAGCTCATAGCGACACTAAACCTGTTCCTGGTCCTTCTACTGTTCTAAAAGATGTTAATGATGATTGTTACAATAAAAGTAGTGACACTAAGAACAATTTCTCACCGAAACTTTTTACTCAAAAAGAATTAAATCATTTTTTTAGAGATTTAAATCTCCCAAAGGATACTGCAGAATTTCTTTGCTCCAGATTGAAATCAAAAAATCTCCTGGCAACGAATGTCACTTTTTCTTGAGACCGTCATCGTGAACGAGAACTTTCTCCTTACTTTTAAGAAAAGATGCAATGGTCTTCTATAATTACATTCAATCAGTGATGGAATATTTTTTAATTGACTATAAACCTACTGAATGGAGACTTATAGATTCAACAAAAGCTAGTTTGAAAGGTGTCCTTTTACATAATGGAAACAAATATGCTTCAATTCAAATAGCTTATTCCGAAAAGAAACATATGACAATATGAAAATTTTCTTGAAATATCATCAGTATCTTCCTAGGTTTGCAAAGTATATTTACTAAATTCTCTTGCTTTTTTTGTGAATGGGATAGCAGAGATAGGTCCAAATATTATATAGTGAAATCTTGGGAAACAAGAACCCAGTTGACACCAGGCTCAAAGAATGTCCTACCTCTACATATTAAACTGGGTTTAATGAAACAATTCGTGAAAGCGTTTGAATCGGTATAAACCATGTTTACAGTATTTGGATAAGAAGTTTCCTAATATAACTTCTGAGAAAATGCCGGTGGGTCCTCAAATTTGTCAACTAATGATCGATACTGAATTTGAAAAATGCATGGATACTAAGGAAAAATGCATGGAGGGACTTTAAATTAATTGTTAAGGGTTTTCTTGGGAACCAAAAAATCCCAATTACAGAGAAGAAGTAAGTGGCTTGTTAAGAAGTTTCCAAAATCTAGGTTTTCTGATGACTGTAAAACTTTATTTTTTTCACTCACACCTGAGTATGTTCTTCACTCACACCTTCACTCCCGATAATTTGGGAGATTACAGCAAAGAACAGGGACGGAAGTTCCACCAAGATATTAAATTAATGGAGCAAAGATATCAAGGCAGGTGGAATACTACTATGATGGCTGACTACCTCTGGAACCTCAAGAGAGACTGCAATCCAGAGGAATCTACATCTCAAAACTCAATAAAGAGGAAGTTTTTTTTGACTTAATGGCAAGTAACATTATATTAATTCGAGTAATGGTTGTAGAGAATTAAAATAGTCATTTTTTACTTGTAGCCAATAATTTATTTTATTTTCTTTGTCTTAATATTTTCATTTATTCTTTATTTGTCTTAATATTTATTAAAAAACTGTAAATAATAGGAAATATCCGATGGCAGATTGTTTGAGCTCTAAAACACCTCTCACTTCTCAGTCATCGATAATTTTTTTTAAATTGCAGTACTGTTCTAGCAGCATCTATATACAAAGATTGTGTATTAAAGAATATACTGAAAATGGCTGAAGGACGAAAGTATATGACTTTAAAAAAATGTTAGAAATAACTACTGAACAAACAATGAGTTTTTAATATTCTCTAATGAAAATGACTTAAAACCCATTTTCAGAACTAAAGATACTTACGAATGATGACATCCATAGGGATCTTTCATTTTAACAAGTTTACTAGTAACATTGGGACAAAACATCTTTATGAATTTTTCCATATCAGGCCAATCATCTCCATACAAAATGGTGAGGGGTTTTGAGCTAAAAAAAATACAGAAAGGATTATGTTTTTTATTTCATTGTTTATTTCTTTCTCACCTCAGACATCTTTCTTTATACTGCTTTAACAACCAATCTATATCAATCATAAAGTTAATTTGTAGAGAATTTTTTAAGGTTCCTAAACTGGGGCAGAGTAAGTCTGAAACAAAAATAAAGGAAGATAAAAAATTATATTTACAAGAATTGATATAAAATTTTCATTACATCATTATTATTCTATGCATTTATTGATTATAAAGTGATATATGGTTGAATGCTCGAATAAATTAATTTTAATCAAATAAATGGCAGATATTGATCACAGTTTTTATTAAATCTTGCCCATGTAGAGCATCTTCAGTGGCATTTCGTCAAAATTAGGATATCCAACAATTCATATATTCCAACAATATATGACATCCTCCATATATAGTTGGATAGCCTAATTTTGATGAAATGCGCCTGAAGATGATCTAGGAGCGAAAGAACATGGGCAAGATTTAATAAAAACTGTGTTCTATATCTGCCTTTCATTTGTTTAAAATTTATTGATTATAAACAATATAAATGATTACCTGTAAATGTTATGGCGTTTTCCTGTTTTTTAGTCTCAGGAGCTTTAATGATTGTGGTAAAAAATACACTGTAAGGTGCCATCCTTTCTATTTTCTCCATCATTGTTTCATCGCCGGATATTAAAATAGGACTATCTACAAGATTCACAACTTCCACAGCATCTATAACTTTACTTGACTTTGGAGCAATATTTTTTCCTTTCTGAGTCTTACTTGGACTGGTTTTTGTACTAGAGTTACTTTTATCTTGCTTCTCAGGCTTTTTTTCTGTGCTAGTTGAGCTGCCTGGTAGATTTTGTATGTCTTTTAAATGAGAAGACTTTAGAAGTGACTGAAGCATTTCAACTTGTTCCAAATAAACTTGTTCTGGTTGTGGAAAATCGCTTGGTATTTTAACAGGGCTACCCATTTCTATTAGCTTCAATACTACATAAGAAAAAAAAACAAAAGTTGATGATTTAAAATATAATTGTAAAAAGAAAAATTATTTGAACATACTAAGAATATTACAGTAGATATTGCTCAACTGTCCCGTATCTGCCTTATAATTAACTGCATATTTTTCTTTATTAATGTGACACATTTCTAAAAACAATCTTTTTTTGTAATTGTTATCTTGTTGTAGAACCCTGACATTTGAGTAGTCAAATTGATGCCCAGTTTTTAGGTAATGGTCAACTGCCGCACATGTATTCTTCTTTTTTGTGCAGTCACTTTTGTGTTGTGTGACCCGTTGTTTTAGCCATTGAGAAGTTTGGCCAACATAACAGCTCTGACAATCCAAGCAAGGCAGTTTATAGATGACATTAGTTTTATTTACAGTTGGTGTCTTGTCTTTTACTTTAGAAAACAGTTGTCGGTTTTCTAATACATTATATTGGACAATTTTGATGTTAGTAAATTGTTTAAATAAACTAGTCACAGAAGGTGTTAACTGTTTTATTAATGGCAATTTAGTAGCAGTACAAACAATCCAATATAAAAAATATAGAGTAATAAAAGAAAAAAGTTTTTTTTTTAATAACAGACCGCATACCTGATACTCCAAAACAATAAATTGTTATATATATATATATATATATATATATATATATATATACATATATAAGTAAATTACATCACCAGAGATATATTTCAGAATATAGGATATGTAATTATTATCTCGTAATCAGACAATGGTAAATAGCAGTATCAATTTCTTGTTAGATTTGATTGACAGTTAATCTGAGGATAAATATGATGCTGAAGTTGACCCTATTGTAACATTGCTCACTTGAAATAGTTTTATATGACTAGTTTGCTGTAAATAGTCATATAAAATTCAGAAGAGAATGTGGGGAATTTGCACTATTTAAAGAACGAAGTGATAAAAAGGTTATAAACTATTATAGAATAGTAAGATATAGATTTTCTGAATGGCATAAGTTAATTAAGTATGATATCAGAAGAACGAATATAAATATGTGTGACAGTATTACAACCATGGAGCAACTCGCACTAATTTTGAGGTAAGTAAACTACAATAAATACTATGAAAGCCTACATTTATTAATGTCCATGAAACCAATACAGTGTTGTATTGCAAAAGTAGGTTCTAACATTTGTATTTGAATCATGTTATTTCTAAAGGATTTTCCATGTATGTGACAACACACCAAATACAGCAACACTATGCGAAAGAACACATGAGGGATATGATGCAGAAGATGTATTGGATTGACTCATATTTCATTGATAACTCAATCCCACTAGACACAGTTGTATGTCCAAAGATGGAACTGGGTGATCAAGGTGCCCAAAAAACATAAAACTGAAACCCTCAAAAGCCAATATACATCAGCATGCCTTAGGACTTACAAATTACAGTAATGACATTTGAAGTACGATATGAAAAATGATTTTCTTTTGTTGTTCAAAGAGTATTCTAAACATAATTGTAATAGAATCAAACAGAAAGGCTTAATCATATTGCAGTAATTGGAATAGTGAACATCCACATAAACTACAGTTTATGTATATTTTGAGTCTGTACAGACTTAAGATTATATTGGAGTATTGCTTATGGTTTTCATGAATCTAAAGAGGTGATCAAGAAACTTTGGCATGTATAATAACTTCATTTATATGTTCCAAGAATTTTGACACCAGGCAAGAAAGAAAAGAAGTATAGGTAAACTGGCTGCAGTAAGTAATTGTAAAAAATCACTCAATCCAGGTGAGTATCTGTGAGTAGACTAGCAGGTTGAACCTTTTAGGGGTAAATTTAGGTACTGAAACCAAGGTACTAAGGTGGAACACTCAAAGCCAAAGAGTTCCTCAACTTGATAGACCATTTGAAAGAAGGATTTGCAATAACATCTTATAATTTTTTCATATGTTAGCACTGGCTGAGAAGTTATGGGAAAAGAATATAACCATCTGTAGAACTCTTTGAAAAAAATAAAACATTTATTCTCAGGAAACTTCTAGCACCATCAAATGAAAAGGATTACTTAAGTATGTTTGGTTTTAGAAAACAATTTTTGTCCCTTATGTACCCAAAACCAAGAGCTGTGGTTATCTTTCAATTTTCAAGTACTTAAACATTTTTACTAAAAATAGCTAGTAAAGAACACTCCAATACAACTGAAATTATTGTTTATTATAACAAAAGAAAGAAGCTGTTATAAAAAGTTAATCAGAACCAATAGTTTAAAAAGACAAAGGATTGAGAGTGAAATAAAGTTGGTTAATAATTTTATAGTAATTATCAGTATTAAAGTTATCAAGTACATGGTTTTAGAAAAATCTCAAATTGATTGCTGTTTATCTGAGATTGTCTAAAAAGGATAACAATAGACAAAGGATACATTGTCTGTTAATTTTATATAATTATTTTAAAAAAAAGCTTGAAAGAAAAAGTAAAAATGGTTATTATGACAATGAAAAATTAACTAAAAAACAGTCATACGGACATGTAGAAATTTAACTGTGGAAAAGTGTGAAAATTACACAGATATATGATATAAGATTTGATATTTATGACAACAAAAAAAAATAGGATTAAAAGATATTAAAAATAAAAATATAAAATCAAATTTCCACTGAAGATATATGCATATCTAATTTATAAAAAAAGACAGAACGATGCAACACAATAGAATTTAACCAAAGAATGTAGATGCATAGAATATATGCCTCTATATTATTTGATTCAACTGAAGATATTTTCACACCATATGTTGTGACTAAAAATCTTTCATCATTGTACTTACAAGTTTAAAAACACTTAACTGAGCGAGAACAGTTCTTTCTTTTAATTTTATAGTAATTATCAGTATTAAAGTTATCAAGTACATGGTTTTAGAAAAAAATCTCAAATTGATTGCTGTTTATCTGAGATTGTCTAAAAAGGATAACAATAGACAAAGGATATATTGCCTGTTAATGTTACATAATTATTTTTTTAAAAAAGCTTGAGAGAAAAAGTAAAAAAATGGTTGTTATGACAATGAAAAATTAACTAAAAAACAGTCATCAGGACATGTAGAAACTGAACTGTGGAAAAGTGTGAAAATTACACAGATATATGATATAAGATTTGATATTTATGACAGCAAAAAAAAATTAGAATTAAAAGCTATTAAAAATGAAGATATCGTAAAGTCAAATTTCCACTAAACATACATGCATATCTAATTTATAAAAAATGACGGAACAATACAAAACAATAGAATTTAACCAAATAATATAGATGCATCTATATTGTTTGATTTAACCCAAGATATTCTCACACCATATGTTGTGACTAAACATCTTTGATTATTGTACTTATAAGTTTTGAAATATACATAGTAATCACTGTCACTTACAATGGGGATGGTCAAATTCCTTGAAGTGATGTGGATTTTTTCTGAAACATTTTACTGAGTGAGGACAGTTCTCCCTTTTAATTTTTTTGCCATTATTATCTGAAAATAAAAAATAATTTAGTTTTTATTATAATTAAACCAAATAATGTGACATTAAATTTTCGGTTTAATACAGTCTTATTTAAAAATAAAGAAATATATGTAGTTCTCCCTTTTAATTTTTTTGCCATTATTATCTGAAAATAAAAATAATTTAGTTTTTATTATAATTAAACCAAATAATGTGACATTAAATTTTCGGTTTAATACAGTCTTATTTAAAAATAAAGAAATATATGTACCTGGCTGGTCGATTTTTCTTTTTAAAAATGATTCCATTACAATTTTTTCTCATAAGTATGGGGATAAAGATGTGATTTTTTACAATTACAAAAATAAAAACTAAACCACAAATACGTGAATAAGATACGGTGTTCTTTATTGTTTATAAAATTTGGATAATTTATATCAAAATTGTTTATTGTTAAATCTTATTGAGACGTTAAAATAACCTAACTTCCTTCAACTTCAAACTTCAAATCAAGAAATTCCCATATCCCATATCCCAGACCAGATCCCCAGAGATAATCCCAATTTACGCCAAATGTAGGCAACTTACAGTTATTACTTGCAGTATTGCCAGGTTTTCACAAAATTCAGTGTAATTGAAATCAAATCAAATACCACACAATTAATATGCGTCTATATTCTATATTCTTTGCCAATACTTTTAAATTTCAAACTAAGCGAAATCCGACTACCCATACTACACAAAATTTAGTGTAAACGCATACGTAAATTTAAAAACTAAAAATGAAATACATACTGGAAATTTACGAAGGATGCTGATTAAATTGGAAAATGCACGGCTCAGGTATGGCCATGCTAAATTTAAAAATTACGCGTATTTGTCAAATCCATATTTTAACTTCGCTGAGCTGGAGTATGTAAATATTAATAGCAATCACTATTCAAAACCAAGATACAGCATTTTTTTTAGTATAAGAAAATACATCGTCGCCTTACTGCCAAAACCAACTAACTCCACTTTTTAAAGATTTAAGGAATCTACGTTTTAACTTCAATTGAAAATGAAAAATCGTCCTAATTTAAAAATAATTTAATGACTGAGAAATATTAAAGTAAACAACATTATAAACGAAACACTTTGTCAAAAAACGGGTGTGGCAGACCAGTGGGACTTCCGGTAGAAGTTTACTTCTATAGGTACTATAGTGCATCGTTTGCTGTATATAAACGTTTGACCTGTAATAGGAGTATAGTAAGTAAAGGATATAAAATTTTATCTTCATATATGTATAAAAGGAGTTGCATGAAAAAAAAAATTACACAATACTCTGCAGTAAAATCCATTGTTTATTTTGTTAATAATATAAAAATACAATACAATTAACTAAAACATAAATCAATATAATAATACAAAACAAATTAAAATGCAATATTCATAAGTATTTAAAAATGACAATCCACGCTATCTGTAACCAACTATATTCTGCTAACATAAAAGTCATAATGATTTGGACTCCATCACATGTTGGTATATTGGGAAACGAAAAAGCAGACCAAGCCGATAAAGCAGCATGTTCTTTCAACTTAGCCTTTAAATTAAGTCCAAATTCATACGGATCTTAAAATATTGATAAAACAAAAAATCCTCAGCTCGTGGGCGTACCTGTGGAGTAAAACAAAAACGAAGCTGCACGACGTTCAACCTAACTTATCTCGCGTCAATATCTCCTGTATGAACAGGAAAGAAAAATCATCGACTACGAATAGGTCATAAACGTGTCACGCATGGATACCTTATGGTATCAGAAAACCCTCCAGTATGCCACTACTGTAATAGCTTTCTTTCCATCAAACAGGTGATAGTGGACTGCTGCCAGTATGATTCTTCTAGAAACAAGCACAACCTAAAAAGAAATCTAAAAGATATTCTAGGTGTTCCAAATAGTTTTGACAGTGTTCTTAAACTTTTAAAAGAAACAAGTTTAATTCAGCTATATAAACAGTGCATAGTGATAAGCTTTAATGTTTTAATTTTTCCACAAAAAAATTGTTGTATATAAAAAATGTATACTGTTGTAAACTATACCCGTGTCAATGACCATAAGCTGTCGAGACACGTTCATTTTAAATAAAAAAAAATGACAATATACATAACTTACTTACGCATAATGTTTAATATTATATATTGATAATAATATTATAAATATAATGATAATAATATTATAAAAAAATATTATTAATAAATAATAAATATATTTACAAAAGGAACATTTTTATTCTCGAGAGAGAATATATATCTTCTGTCTCTCTCTTACCTATATCTTACTTATGTAATGTTTGTGGAAGATAAAAATAAAAAAAAAAACATCTCGGATTATGTTGTAAATTTTAATTTTATTTCAAAATTTAGCATTTTTGCGTATATTACATATATTTAATAATATTAACGTAGGGTTTTTAAATATTTCAAATAAGTATATGTACATTATATATACATTATATTAATACTTATTATAAAATTTATTGCGGCCAATTTTCATTAATAGGGACATTTGTTCAATAATTTTTATGTCAGTGCCACGCGTCTATATTATTTGGTGCCACTAACGCAGTGGTGTTAACATAGACTCGGATTGAGAAAATTGTGACAAGCTGCGGCAAAAATTTAATCTATTCTTCAACTAAAAGTATGAATAAAATAGTACAAATGATGTCTATAGTTGCCGTAAATAAATGAAACCGGATTAATTTTTCTATTCACACCAGATAAAATGTCACTGAACAGCACTGGTTCCGTTTAAAACATGGCTGATTCCGTCTGAGCGAACGAGATGCGCGTACTTATTTTTTCAAGTAGAGTGGACATTTTGAGTGTTTATTTTTCTGTGTCGGGACTTTCCCTATCTTTTAACAAGTAATTTTTAAAAACTACAGAATTTTAAGGGATTTCCTTATCAGTTGATGGATGTCTTAAATGTACACAAACGTATTAAAAATACTGAACATTTTTTTATGGTAACACAAATAAAAGATAAATTGTGTTATCGAATTAATTTTTAAGTAAAATGTAAGAGTATTTTGATATTTCTTCTCAAATCGTTAGATCCAAATGGTATTTCGGTAAATAGATATCAAATTCTGTAGATCTACCGAAAAATCGGTAGACCGAACATCACTGCACTAACGACCTGTCAAAAATATACGTAACTATTTTTCAGTTGTCATTTGTCACATTGATCTTTGAGTTCAGGTATTGTGCAGTGAATATTATATAATTCTAATTTTTAGGGTGTCCTAAAAAAACCATAAAAATGGCATATTTGCTTAATCAGGGCATTCGTAGATTTATGCAGACTTCTGCAAAAAGGGCAGCCCAAATTGAAGGCCCCTCAGCCGTATCTGGTCAACATGAAGGTGGTTTCAAGATTTGGAAAAACCTCACCATTTTCGTAGCTTTCCCATCAATTATACTGTGTGCAGTAAATTGTTATCTTTCTCACCAAAGCGGCCACCACGAACCCCCAGAGTTTCACAAGTATGATCACATGAGAGTTCGCACTAAAAGATTTCCATGGGGCGACGGCAACAAATCCTTGTTCCACAATCCACACGTCAATGCTTTACCCGATGGGTATGAACACCATTAGAAGTTTCCCTATAGAAAGTGTATTATTTAAATAAAAGATGTCTTTTTAAAATAAATGTAGTTAAACTATTTTTGTGTTTATATTTTAACCACATTTGTGATATCTATTTAACAGTTTAGGTTCCAAAATATAATTCTCACGTTTAAGGATTAATAACTTAGGCAGGTAATAAACTATGCTCGTATATTTTCTAAATCTGATGATACTCTGCTTTGATGTAAGGTTTGCACTTTTTTTGAGGATAAGATATGGTGTATATTCCATATTCTTGATTTTCAAATATTTGTTATCTGTGGACTTGAATATTTTGATACTACTTTCAAATTCTTAAAATGTATGTACTTCCAAGATGTCCTAACACCTTAATTTCAAGTGTTTCCAGACTTTATAGGATCTCATTGATAATTTAAACTTTTGGGAATGTATATGGTTATCTAGAGATTTAAAATAGTTTAAAGAATCTCTAGACACATTAATATAACTTATTGTTACTATAAAGTAATAATTTGTTTTTTTTTAGTCTTTTTACATAACTGAGAGCTTTGGAAATTGTAATACACTTGCTTCACTTCTACAGTAGGCAATACAATATGGTATTTTGTACAGATGTAAAAGTATTCAGCTTCAGATAAGTATGCTATATCTGGTTTTTAGACCTCTAATTTGTAGTTAAAAATTACCCTGCTAATATTTTATTATATATTCTTGATTTCATATGATCAAAATAAGGAATATATGGATATATTAGAATATCTATAGTATTACATTAAAAATGGACTTGGTATTATTAGTAAGTTAAAGAGTGACAATGATCATGTTACTTGTCTTCTATACCAGTCACAAGAAATATCAGACTATCCTGCTATATTTGTAAACTGCACTAGGAGTATAAAGCGATATTAATTATTACCACAAATAAGTAACTCTGAATGGTAAAATAATTGTGGAAAGACATTTCCAGATATCTAAATAAAATCAACAAGGAAAATAATTCCTGCAGCTGGCTGTATACCACATATCACAAAAAAAGAGGTTAGATCTTTGTAAATGGGTATATTTAAAAAACCCTTAAAAGGGCTACATCAAATTACACAAACGTTTTCGGAATAATAATTCCATCATCAGGTTTAAAAATGCAAGTTAACATGCCTGAGCCACCAAAATATCAGGGTAAAAACCCTTTAAAATACTTGAGGTTACAAAAGATTGTACATAATATTGTAATTATTTGATGTTTAATATTAAATTAAATTTAACTTTAGGTAACATATACCCATGTCTTAGGTGAGTTCCAGCGTCCGGAGAGTAAACCTCTTCCAACAACTACAGCTGGTAACTAGAACTTGATTTATTTCAAAAATGAATTCTTTTATGAGCTTGTCAGATGTGGCTATAATGTTTGAATTTAATACAACCAATTCAGAAAAGAGTAGAAATCTATTAACTTTTATTCTATTTTATTTTGGTTATGGAAAGAATTAGGTATATGCTGTACAGAATACTGCAAGAAGACCAATTTCATCGTCAAACTGGTGTGCAGCAAAAACAGATCAATTTGCTTATATGAAGGATGAAACCTTTAAACAGGTCACATTGAAAGGTCTAGCTTAGGTATACCAATACCATTTTATTGACGTCATGGTGGAAACTTACCTCCTATACACTGTATATGTAAGTTGGTGGTTGATGAGGAAGTGCGCATAAACCACCAACTGCTAATGTTAGGGCTTGCCTTAATTGGATGGAAATCACAGGAAAATTTAAGCCAGTGGTGAGACAGTTTCTGAAGATTAAGAGAAACTACTGAAAAGTAATCAGGAAAACCATGATGAAGTGCAGCAAAGACTGAAAAGCAAGTATACATGATCTAAAAAAAGCGTGTATGGGCGACATACATAAAGAGTTGAAGCAAGGTCTTAACAATCATAGTATGTTATTGTGTAGTACATCATATTATTTTTATTGTCAATGTCGTAACCATAATCATTGAAATAATATTGCATGCAGTTATAATTTTCAAAGTTTAAGCTTGATCTGGATGTAGTTTTTTAGTTTATCATTTATCTATGTATGATAAAAAGAGTTAAGAGTAATTTTGAATGTTGTTTGCTATAGACTTGTATTGTGCTCTCTCTCTCTCTCTTATGTATGATTCTAGAGTATTTTCTCATGCAGAACTGTTTCAAATACATGTCTACTAATATTTACTACTAAAACCTAATATTAATATAAGTAGCCTCTGTTGCAGAGTAGACGGTCGCAAACGGCGTCTGGCCGCATGTTAGGGAGCTAAACTCAAAACAGTAAAGGCAACGGGAAATCACACCGATTTTTCCCAGGATATTGCTATGGCGAAGAAAAAAAAATCACAGCGCCTAGTCCTGGGTAACCCTTTGGTGGGCAAGGAGTGCTAAGAATCTCTCGGTTTAATATACCAAAATACACCGTTAAGATAGTCACACGGAACGTTAGAAGCCTTTATGCTTCCGGTAAATTTGAAAATATTGTTCAGGAGGTCAAACGCTTAAAATTGTTAATTATTGATTGGTGTAAACGAATAACGATGACCTGGTTTAAAAACAAGCAGGCACAAAGAGGATATATTGCATTATAGTGGGAATGATACTGGCGACCCACAGCTTAGAAATCGAGTGGGGATTTTCGTAACATCGGAATTCGAAAAATATGTCCTCAACTTTGTCACAATAAATGACGGAATCTTACACGTACGAAAATACGACAATGAAGTAGAATTCTGTATAATAAACTTAGTGCAGCATAAAAAGTTTAAAATCCAATGAAATCACATACATAGTGAGCAACTTTATGCCAAAATTGATCAAGGGTGTAGATCAGATCTTGTGGGAGAATATGGTCTGGGAGACAGTAAAGAACGAGCGGACAGACTCTGGTTTTTGCCAAGAACACAATATGGCAGTAACAAACATGTACTGACCAACACGTACAATAAGAAGGCAGATAGATTATATTATTATCAACAAAAAATTTAGTAACTTCATTAGTAAAGTTACGACTTACCCTAAAGCAAATATTGAATCTGATCACAACCTCACAATGTAAGAGTCAGGCAAAAACGAATAGAGAAAATATATCAGCGAAATAATTATACAATAAACATGGAAAATATTTCGTGAAGAAACGATTAAGATACTAGAGGAATACAGTGTAACTAATATCTTCAAGAAACAACAATGAATGACGGAAGTAATACTGGACCTTGTGGAACAAAGAAGACAATACAATAATAAGGAAGACAAATACCTAGCGGTGGGATAGATAGAAAGAAAAGTGGATGGCGGATAGATGTTCAGAACTAGAAGAATTATAAAACAAACATTGCATGTTTCAACACAGTATAATAAGAAAAACACCAATGCACTTGTAGATAATGCAGGAAAAGTTTGTATTGATGAAGGAGAAATGCCTGAAACAAGGATTAACTATATAACTGAATTGTTCCAAGATGACAGGCCAAACATACAGAACAATGTAAATCAACAAGTACCTGAAAATTTAAAATCTGAATGCTTTCATACAATAAAATCAGCCAAAATCAAGAAGGCAACTGGACCTGACAAGATCCCAGCTGAACCCTTAAAAACGATTCAAAAATTATTAGTGCTATAGTTCAGCTTTTTAATGAAGTGTATACTACTGGTGAAACACCTGAAGAACGGCTTAAGTCTGTTCCGAAAAAAGAATGGGCAAAAAGACACTTACGACGAATACAGATTAATTAGTCTGATGAGCCACACATTGAAAATGTTTCCTCGCATTATTCAGGGAAGAATAAAGTCATTGCTCAAATAGGGTTCACAATAGTACACTCCGCAAAAACTACATGATCTTTATACTTTGAAATCGACTACTCGTTTGCTCTTTTTGCTAAAAATTTATCAATAATTTTACAAAAAATAATAACTTTTGATGTTAACATTTTTTTCGGGGCAAATTTCTGTTGTTACTTCATAAAAAAGTGAAAGAACCGTAGTACCTCTTCTGTAATGTCCCATTCGTCTTGTTGCATGGAAAAGTTGTTCCGCAAATGGGCCGTAGTTGTAATAACCCTTTATTACGCGACCTAACATTTCAAATGAAGAATTACAATGAGTTGGAACCTCTTGTTTTTATTACATGCATCTTGTAATTACGTAGTCCCTGATTGCTTCCTTTAAAACATTCTACAATGCATTTCAACTTTGCAAGAGTATCTGTCCGTTTTTATTTCTGAACAAACAAATTTAATGAATGCGCAAAGCAACCAACCAATGTTCAATTACCCATTTTAACAGATGCCGCATTATCATTTACACCAGCTATTCTGTGAGAAATTTACCATTCTTTCATTATCTCTTTAGGGAATTAGAACAACAAAGGGTTGATTGCTTGTCAATGTAATAAGCTGTTACTGCAATATAACTTTTATTAGTGTGGGATGTCCATGCTCCAGTAGTAGGCACACGGGGTGTGCGTTATTTATTTTTATTTGTAATTTTTCTAAGTACTATTTGCTGTTTTAATAAGCAAATTTTCACACAATTTTTCCTAGATGATAATTTAAGACAATGAGACACCATTTTAATTAATTATTTAAATTTCGTTTCTTCAATCATTCTTAACGCATGGTGTCCTTTAGTGATAATTCTGATATCTTGTTTATCTATTTTTTCTATTTTATATGTTGATGGCAGCTTTCAAACAAAATTTGTGATTTTGGTTTGAGGTCTTGGTTTGGTACTTGAGAAAGGTGATGTGTGAGCAGAAACATCTTCACTATTTATTACTTCGATTTCAGGTGTAAGTTCAGATTTAGATAGTTCCATTGATGTTAAGATTAGGGAGTGTTTGCTTTTCGTATGGCAATTTAAGATATTTGAACTATTAGCAAATGCTAATTGATTAGGAGCAATAATTGCACTTCACTCTTACCTCTCCATGTTCTGGAAAATAGTCAAAACGAGCACTACACTTGTTTTTGAACTCATTTTATATATTTTTTAATCTATAAATAATAAAGAGTTAATTAATCACTTACAATTATTCAGAAAAACAAG